GTAGAAGAATTGATGCCTTTGACTTGTGGTGTTGGAGGAGAATACTGAAAGTGCCATGGACTGCCAAAAGAACCAATAGATCTGTTTTGGACGAAGTGCAACCAGAGTGCTCCTTGGAGGCCAAGATGGCTAGGCTTCGTCTCCCATACTTTGGACACATTGTCCGGAGAGAACAATCGCTGGAGAAGGATGTCATGCTGGGTAAAGTGGAGGGTCAGAGAAAAAGAGGAAGACCCCCAACGAGATGAATCAGCCAGGTGGCATCATTGATGGCGTCAAGTGTGGCGGTGGTAGTGAGGTTGGCCCAGGATCGGACATTGTTTCGTTCTGCTTTGCATGGGGTTGCTATGAGTCAGTTCCGACTCGATGGCACCTGACAACAACAACAGATCTTTACAGGAGCAGAAAGCCTTATCTTTCTCCCATGCAACAGCTGGTAGTTTTGAATGCTGACCTTGAGGTTCGCAGCCCAATTCGTAACCACTACGCTACCAGACCTCCTTTCCCATTTTAGGTAGCCAGTGTCTAAGTTGCCCGTCCCTATCATCCCTGTATACAGATGGGATAGGTTTGATCTTGGATGTGAAGACTCCTTCCTTCTCAGTTGTTTGTCACATACCTTTTACTGCAAGAAATTGTTTTTTCTGTGATCACATTACTTTCTTTCTGTAATCACAGCTTCCTTATAATTGAGGCACATAATTCCTTTTTCTCAAAGAAGTCAGTAATATGCAAAGTCTGTTAAAATTTTTAAACTTTTTATAAGGAGGACATTGGTGGTTTTAAATGCCATCTAATCATATATAACCCTTTCACTTAAAATGATGTTAACTGAAACATTAGAATTCTAAACAGCACAGGTTGTTAAGTACCATCAAGTTTGTTCCAACTGATTGTGACCCTATATAAGGAGAGTTTCTGAGAGTGGCTAGTGAGGTGTGTGTTGCTTAATGTCTGCCTATAATGTCCAACTACATATATGAGAAACCCATGGGTTGCTTTTTAAGGAAAAGCTGTTCTCCTTTTGTCTATTAATTCCCCTTAATGGTTTTAAAGAGTCCTGTTGTGATGCTGTAGGATAAACACTGGACTACAAGGTCAGCAGTTCAGTCTTACCATTCACTCCTCAGAAACCTGTACAGGGTCGCTGTGAGTCAGAACCAACTTGATGGCACATAACAACAGCAGTGATTTTAAGGTAGTGCCGTGGCTCCAGGATAAGCACTGGACTGTGAACCAAAGGTCAGGGGTTCAAGTCCCTCCAGCTGCACTGCAGGAGAAAAATGAGACTTTCTGGTCCTGCAGAAATTTACAGCCTTGGAAACCCAGGTGGCATGGAGACTCCACCTGTATATAATATGGTGTTTGTATAGCATTAAGCAAAGTTAAGTGACACAGATGTAAAAATAAGATCAATTGCATTAAAATTCCATGTCTATACTAGTCATTATAGATGCTATCTATATTTAGGAGTCCTGGTGTGGCGCTGTGGGCTAATGTGTCAGACTGCAAAGTCATTTGAACTGTAAGGTCAGTGGTTCAAGCTCACCAGTTACTCCTTGGAAACCGTATACAGGGTCGCTATGGTTCGGGATCAACTCGACAGCACTTTAACAACAACAACAACCTATATTTATGTGGCAAAGTTAGTATTTGGCACTATTGACCATTCTCTCTTTGGAATTCTTGTCCTGTGGCTTCCATGGTCTTAATCATCCTGCTTATCCTCCCCTTCTATGTCTTCTTTATTAATTATTAATATCATACCTTCAATTAGAATACTCTCAAGGTTTGCAGTATGTGTGTGTGTGTGTGTGTGTGTGTGTGTGTGTGTGTGTGTGTGTGTGTATGAGAGAGAGAAAGAAATTGATTTTCTACTGGGGCTTAACTAGTGATTTCAAAAGAGTCCTAAAATTTCTTAGAATTGTCTCAAGAACTACTGAGAAGCCTTATTAAGTGTGAAAACTAGAACAGCCTTATCTCTATGTTTTTAATGCATTGGGATTTCATAAAAGATTTCATTTCAAAAATGAATGTATTTCTGCTTCTTAAACACATGCAAGAGGGAAAGATAAAACACATACGGGGTTGACTTAAATCTATATTACGTGTGAATGACATCCAAATCAATACTTCTGATCTTTGTTCTGAGAGTCAGTCTTGGGCCTTCTTTTGCACATTGGACATCTCTCCCTGTATAGATGACTGTCACAGTCACTTCTGAGCCAGCATGCCTGCCACAAACATTACTGTCTGTTTCCTCCTAAATTGATTCTCCCTGACAGAAACTCCTATTTCTGTTTGTTGCTGAACTACTTACTCTCTGAGACTTGTAAACGTAGAAGTTTTATCTCATCTTTTTTCTTTATTGCTCCAAGTCTTCAGTCTTTAAGACCTGTTGATCTTTCCTTAGATTATAGTTCACATGCTGTTATTGTTGTTAAGTGCTGTTGAGTCACTTCCGACTCATAGCGGCTCTGTACAGGGTTTCCAAAGTTGTAAATCTCTGCTGGAGCAAAAAGCTTCGTCTTCCTAGTGCAGAGTGACCAGTAGATTTGAACTGCTGACCTTGAGGTTACCATCCCAGTTCATAACCCACTATACTATCAAGACTCCTTTACACATACTATATATGGCATTTATTTTTTCACTCTATTTTAGGTTACAACAGTCAAGACCATAGAAAAGATCCTTGCTCATGAAGCTTATGTTTTAATTGGAGTTGAGAGGCATAAGCAAGTAAACAAATAAAACAATTAAAAATAGTAATAGCATATGACATCCAGTTGTTTCCGTGGTGGGGGAAAGTGAGCATCTGTGTGAAGTGTACCAAGAAAGACACAGTAGGGAGCATCGTGCAAAGGGCATGTGCACTCATCTTTCATGAAGGATGTACACACATTTCTTACACAGAGTTAGTCCCTGGTTTAACCCTCTATGGTTTGGGTACAACATATGGTTTTTACCTTCTTGTTTAGTCACTAAGTTAAAAGGGACCATCAGTAATAATGCTTTTCCTATGGCAAAAATAATGTAGCACCAAGCCATCTTCATAGGTGCTTTGTTTCTTTTATTCCTCCTTTCCACTTCCCAGGATGAAATGGGGCCTAGAATCAGTGCAGTAATAGTTTTTTCTCTGTACCTGTAAAAGATTAGCTTTTAGTCATCAGGGATGACGCCAGCAAGAAAACCAAACGCAAGAAAACAGAGATGAAGCCAAAAAGGACAATTTCTGATTGTAATGGTTGGTTTCTGTTTCACATCACTGAGCAAGATGAGAACATTTTGTAGGGTTTTATAGGACCGGCTTACACTACACTGAAGGGTGGCCTCACCCTCAACGCCCTTGCCAGGTGCTTAGCCCCACTGTGAACACACAAGGTTGATTTTCAACATGAAACAAGCCAGAAGTATGGAATGACATTTCAGGTAACAGCTGTGCTTTCTTAGCCTGTAATTAGCACCTCTTAACCCTCAGACTTGCCCATGCCTTTTTCAGGCTGTGGAAGCTCAAATCCGAAGTTTTGGACAGACGCCTTCTCAACTACTCATAGAGCCTCATCCTCCCAGAGGGTCTGCCATGCAAGTTGTAAGTACCGCATTCTCTCCCCTCATTTCTTGCCCCTCTCTCAGACCAAACTTGACATTCATCACAGTTCTTTCTTTGTGCTTGAGCTTCTCACCACACCTGGGCAGTTCTGTTCTTCTTGTGTAGTGTTTCTTAATCTGCCAACAAACAACCAACGGTACTGCATGCTCTCCTGCAGTCTCGAAATGGTAAGCGTGGCTCCAGTGCTCTGTCATTTTATCAGATCGTATTTTGTGTTGCAGAATGTGAAGGTCCACAATTATCACAGATCCTTCACTTTTGGACAGAGAACTCCATAGTTAGGGTTGATATGTTTTCTGGTATGACCCTGTGACTTTTTCTAGTTTAGTTTTGTTACTGTGTTGTTATCTGCTTGCTTGTTTTTATATCTTAGTACATCTTTCAGGATGCACTAAGGATAAATAAGATAATGTTTTTGAGAGTCATCAACCAGAGGGGGAATAAAGATGGTCTCTGTATACCAAGCCACCTGAAATTAAGTGGTTTAAAACTGTGGTTTATTACTGTCTTGATTTTTGAGGGTTGGATGGGTATTTCTTCTGACCTTTTCACCTTTGCCTCACACATGTGTGGCTGAGGTGGTGGCTAGACTGGAATAGCTGGAGTCTTCTACCATATATTCTTTCATTCTCAAGGAAGTTATATCAGGCCATCCCCATGGTCAGAATAGTGCTGGAAAAGAATGAAGAGAGAAGTTGCTAGGTTTCTTTAAGGCCTAGCCCATACTATCATTTCTGTCTCATATTGTTGCTCACAAAACTAGTCAGAAAGCCATCTAGAATCAAAAACCCTACTGCCATGGAGTTGGTTCTGTCTCCAGCAACCCTATGGAAATAAGCTCGAGCTGCAAAATGTTATAACCATTCTATTTTTATAGTTCCAGAAATTTCAGAGGGGTAATTTTTCAGTGAGATTAAAAGAAAAAAAAAAAAATCAGCGTAATAAATATTGAATTGTCTCATAAAAATAAATATGATTTTAAAAGCAACCTATAGATTGCTTTTAATTGCCCCCATGAAAATAGGTTGCTAAATAGTGTTTTAAATTAAGAACAGAGAATATAGAATCTATTTCTATAAATATAATGAATACTCTAGGATAATTCTAGTTTTGGGTTGTGGTTTAGAGACAACTGATTTCTCTGACATACTGGGAAGGAGAGAGCAGCAACTAAACAGACAAGAAATAGAGATGTGTTATCTATCTCTGTCTGTCTCTCTTTTTTTCCTTTTCTCTTCCCATGTCATGGCTTCCTCTGCCCTTCCCCCTTGCCCCTTTCTGTTTGTCCTTTTTCTTCTTCCAAGGCTTTTCCCCATCTTTCCTTAGTTATGGAGTTGGCTATAATAATAAACTAAGAACATTTTTAAGTGATTTGCATCACCTTTTTCCCCCAAGTATTTTTAAACAAGTGAAATCCGATTTAGATGAGCATGAAGGATATATTTAGTGGTCAGAAGACTGTACAGAAAGTGAACATGTAGCAACAGCAGTGGAAGAACAGTAAGAATGAGTTATGTTTATGCTTTGGAATTAATTTTAGTAAGAGCTTGTCAATGAGACTCTGGCTGTTTTGTTGTTGTTGTGAAGTGCCGTCGAGTTGGTTCCAACCCATGGCAACCCTGTTTGGGTTTCCGAGGAGTACCTGGTGAGCTTAAACCACCGACCTTGCAGTTCAAATGCTTTGCAGTCTGGTGCATTAACCCACAGCGCCACACCAGGCTGTTTTAGGTGTTGACTAATGGAAGCTCCTCCACTACTCCATTGACTTTCTACTTGGGTTACTTGCACAGCCTTGGTCACTGGAGAAGTCAGGGAGTTCCCACTGCCAAGTCTCCCTCCACAGCAAAAAGATGAACAGTTAATCGAAGCAGATCAGTTCTACTATCTATCCCTCAGGTAGTACCGCTGAAATCCACAAGCTCATATGATAGGACTACAGACCATCTTTTCCATCATCTATCCTCTGAACTGAACACCTGAACTCATTTTCAGACTTGCACAAATTATGCTTTTCATCATACAAATATGTAGGTAAGAAAGAAAAGTGTGTTAGAAGGAAATCAAGTTGTCAGCAAACACACATTTAATCTTAGAAGATGGATTGCAAACGTGTCTCTTTCCACTTCAGACTTAGATCACAGAGGCCAGCATCCAGTAGTGGATGAGAGTTTGTCTCTTGTTCCTCTCAGCCCTGTTTTGCCTAGCTGCAACTGTGGCCATCATTAGGCTGGAGTGTGCTTTCTCTCATTTCTAGTGCTCCTCATTCCATACTTGCCAAGAATATGCTGGAACTGCCTGCATTGGGAATCCTAGTCAGGATGCGTCCATAGGAACAGACTCACAGTATAGACTGTTGTTGAAATGCAGTGAACAGTTCTAAATGTGGTATCTGCAGCCTGCTGTGCAGAGTGGCCTGTTCTTACCACATGGCTAAGAGTCCACACACCAGAGTCTCCATGTAAACAAGACATTCCTCCTACACATTTGAGGGTTTTTTCTTTTGTTTTTTTCTTTTTTAGGGCATAAACATTAAAATTATTCAGTCAGAGCTTAAGTATATTTACAATATGAGCTGTTTGGCTCAAAAATGCATATGATGCATTTTTCAATGAGCTTTGATGATGTATGTTATACTCTGATTTTCTCTTTGAGTCTGTAAATTGGTTTTAGTAAATATTATAGAATTATACAATTAAAAAATAAGAGTTGTTACTCTAAAATGGAAGAGTCCTGGTGTGGCACTGTGGGTTAATGCACCAGACTGCAAAGCCATCTGAATTGCAGGGTCGGTGGTTCAAGCTCACCAGCTGCTCCTCGGAAACCCTATACAGGGTCACTATGGGTCGGAACCAACTTGACGGCACTTAACAACAACAACAACCCTAAAATGGCATTCATTTCCCTTTGCCAGCCTTCTGCAAAGCTTGCTATTAAGATATTTTGTTCTATGTTGTTCATTGTTTCTCATTTTACCCATTTTCACAGCATCCCTAAGACTTTATAAAAGGTTCTTTGTGTGATGAAATGTTCACTATTGGTATCAGGGCTTTTAAAAATCAAAGGCCGAAGTGTTTATTAATTGTTTTTACTAACACTTAGATGAGTTACTTCATCAGCCATCAGTGTGCCTCAGCATATACACACACGAATATAGAAGAAATTAAAGCCACCTCGTGCTGTGTTAAGTGCATGAGCCATAATATACACCAGGTGTAGTAATTAGCAGGCACACGAAGGCTGCCTATTTGTCTGGTTTTGCTGCTGTTACTGTATCCCCCTGTGTTTTCACACCATCAGATAGTTGGATTTAATTGAGGCCACATCAGATGAGGCATTACTGACACCTTTAATTGAATGAGCATCCAGGGAGGATTAACTCATAATATTGATTGGCTTTTAGCCACTTGCTCAGAAGGGTGTCTGGGTAGCTTATTAGTTGCCTTTATTTACACCTTTATGCAAAGAGTGCAAATAGGAATTCTTAGTGCAATATGTTTTTCTAAGTACTCTTAATAACTTTTTTAAAAGGACTGATCATAAAAATGCAAATTTATTTAATTTTTTATTAGCAGTTCTGAATAAATATGTGTTAAATATATGTGCCTACACATAGTTTCACATACCTGGTGTTTTGAAATATGGCACTAGGAAAGCAGCCAGAAGCACTTCATCAAAGTGTTTCAATTCTGAATGATACTAATCAGCTATTAGAAAATAGACCTGGTAGAAGAGCATTGCTGAGAAGGCACACTACCACGAAGTAGAAATAAAGCCAGTACATCAAGGTAGTGCTGTGTGTACCTCACATTATGACACAGCAGCTGTAGGAATGCTCCAAATCCTAAGCAGTGTTCGAGATTTTGTTTGCTAATTATTAGATCAGTGTTTTGTTTAACAATTTCAAAATCTGCTTTTCAAAGGTAGAATCAAAAAGTCTTGAGCCTTAGGTTTTTGTTTTCATTTTGTTTTTTTTAATCCAGAGGAGAAAAGGACATCTAGGTTTTTTGTTTGTTTGTTTGTTTTTATTCCTACCTACAGCAGAAAACAGTGGCATTTGCATTATAATAGGGTAGTGTTTATGACTTGGTATACTATATAATTACATTGTTTTTGCCAAGGGCATTTAATTATGCATCGCTTTAAAACACCTTTATAATTAAATTTGTATATTATGTCTGTAAGTTATTTCTCTACTGTAATAATGCATGCATACTAACAATTGTTTATAAATATATTTGTTTTAATTATCTCTTTATTTAGTTGTCAAAATCTTCATGCTAACGCAACACAACTTTTGATGATCCTTGGGAATTACCTTGCGTTGCTTTTATGACTATTGCATAATCTCATTCTTTTCTTTAACTCTGGTACCAAAAGCTCATTACTTGACATACGATAGCAATTGGTATGGGTTTAATGCAATCCCCAGTACTTTGCCTATGTAGAAATGGAATCAAACTCATTATTGTAGCTATGGGTGGTGGGGAAGAGAGCTAATAAAATTATGTGATTTTTTTTTTTTTTTTTTTTTAGTATCTCTATTAATGTATTCTATTTCAGTCACCAAAAATTTCTCAACTAATGACATACATGAAAAACAAGCAGATCAAAATAGCTGTTTCTATAAGCCTTTCTGCTCACTATGCCTACATGCACAGCTGTGTTAACATGGTCTTCCTCTTCTTTTCCTGCGCCTTCTCTCCATGTCTTTCTTTGTCTTTTCTGTCTTGTATATTTGGGTTCTTGTCATGCCAAACCAACAGTATCTCCTCCTGCAGAGTCCATTGATGTTCACAGACCAAGCTCAGCAGGATGTTATCATGGTCCTAAAGTTTCCCTCCAACTCCCCTGTCACTCACGTGGCAGCCAACACCCAGCCTGGCCTGGCCACTCCTGCTGTGATCACAGTCACTGCTAATAGACTGTTTGCTGTAAACAAGTGGCACAACCTTCCTGGTAAGTAGAGAAATACCATTATAAGATACTAACTGCTGAACACTGTGTAAAGAAGTTGTAATGCCCTCTTAAATGTATTCTATCTCAGCATTTAAGCTATTAATTTTCACGCATTAGTGTGAATCAAAATGAATAATAGTTTGAAAAGCTTGAGGAAGTCCCACCTGAGCCATATAGTCCAAATGTTGATGCATAAAGTATTCTTTTGCATCTGGTGGTTTGTCTGTATTCCTCAGAGGTAAATATTTTTTTTTCTAATGTAAACGATTTAATGTAAAATATCATATATTATATCTATAAACAGTATAAAAAATTTTAATTTATCATATATTGCCCTTTTTCCACTCATTCATTTACTCATTAAACACTAACGATTGTCTATAATGTGCCAGAAACTAATTTTTTGTACATGACATTGTGCTGTTTGATGTAGATAGTAGAAGAAAAAAAAACATTCAAATTACACTGACAAAACATTGCATACCCATTAAGTACAAGGAGACTTCAAAATATACTGAAAACATCCCATTGTTTTTCAATTCCAATTTTCCTTGAGCTTTTTGAAGCTACCTCATACATTCTGGACTCCTGGTATGGTACTGTAGAATAAGCACTAGACCGCAAGGTCAGCGGTTCAAACTCACCAGCCACTCCTTGGAAACACTATACATACAGGGTCACTGAGTCAGAGTGGACTTAACAACATACATTCTACTCTTCCATTAAGTACTAAATAATCCATTGTCACTCCAACAGATCCAACATAGAGACCCTATGGGACAGACTAGAACCACCCATAGGATTTCTATGGAGCTCTGGTAGCGTAGTGGTTACGAATCGGGCTGCGAACCTTAAGGCCAGCAGTTCGAAACTCCCAGCCACTCTGCAGGAGAAAGATGAGGCGTTTTGCTCCTGTAAAGATTTATAGCCTCGGAAACCCTGTACAGGGTCGCTATGGGTTGGTACTGACTCGATGGCACTTAACAACAACAGTCTCTATGGAAGCAACCTGCCACATCTTATTCCCTCAGAGCAGCCAGTGGGTTCTTACCACCAACTTTTTGGTTAAAGCCTCTGAGGGTTTAACCACTGCACCACTAGTGCTCCGTAGATGCTGAATAGTCATGGTAACTAGAGGCAAGACAGTAAAATAACCATTAGAATTATAAAGTGCACAAGTCCGAGGACTCATTAGAGTTCATCTAGTCCAGTCCCACATTTACCAATGAAGATACTGAGCCCTGAGGAACCTGCCTTATTCAGAGATAAGTTTGCACTCAAGTTTTCTAACTTAAATTTTGTGATTATCCCTCTGTGATTCATTGCCTTTCCTTAGAGCAGGGCTGTTTGGACCTGGATTTAGCACTGTTTAAATTTTTTTTAAAGCAATAAGGAAAATCTTTTAAAGTCTTGGAGATTATAGGCCTTCCTCCCCCACTCCCTCAAACCATTTGTTTTAGGGAGGACCTTAAATATTTGATTGTAATTATCTTTCAATGTGTCTTTAAATCTGTAGAGTGTGTATAAAGCACTGCTGATTCGAAATGGTTGCAAAAATACACATTCTTGAAAAAGAGCCTCATGCCAAATTAAATGCAAGAGTTTTAGAATTGAGAAAAATTGACATTCAAACAAAAACTTAGTGTACTGACTGCAATCAGTAAGGTGCCTATTATTAGCAAGAAGCTGTGGTATTAGAATTTATTAAATATAGCCATCTTCCTGGCCATTGGAGAATGAAGTAACTCGAAGAATGCCAATATTTGATTAGAGAGTGGATTTGAGGAGACAAGTAAAAATTTAGGTAGGTTATACTTTTTCTAGATGATCTGTTGTTGTTAAGTGCTGTCCTGTCTGTTCTGGCATAGAAACCCTACACAGAGTTTCCCAGGAGCAGTTTGAACTGCCAAACTCATGTTTTCAGTCAAGTGCTTATCCTCCATTGCCACACCAAGACTCTAGATGATAGGTTTCCTTATTTTTTTTTTTTCCTTCCTATGAGCTGTTCTTACAGAGGAAAATGTGTACACAAATGGCATACTTTCATTTTTGGGCAAAAGATTATCATTTGTTTAAGAAGTATAGGGTGTTCTCTAAATACTATAGGTTAGAAGAGAGAAGCTTGGAGGCTGGGTGTATTTTGAAGTACACTAGCAGATTTATCCTACTTCCTTTATATCTAGAACAGGCCAAAGACACTAGTTAGTAAGACATTGGGACCACCACAGCCTAAACAGAATAACAGCATATGAGAGGGGAGACAAACCTGTTTAAGTGCTAGAATGCCCTGGCCCTGACCCCTATCCTTAGCTTTGCCCCAGCAGAGAACCAGCTCAGCAGAAACTGAGCTGACTTTCCCATAAGTCTCTGGCTGATAGTCCCATTGTAATGTGCACTCTCTAAGCATTGATGGCTGAGCTCTTGACACTCCCCTTTTGAGCCAGCCCAGTTTCCAGAGTCTAAAGCTTCCATTAGTCCTTGGGTCTGCACAGGGCCTGTCAGTGTTTCCTTTAGTTGCACCCAGGTTCTCTATGAATGAGAACCCGTTGGCTGACACCTAACAGCAACACAATAGGTAGTCAGATGTTTTCTACTCCACTCCCATTTTTTTCCTAAGTGCGTCAGTGCTCTGGGGCTAGGCTCCCTATGCTGGATTGCCACTTTTGATGTATCCAGCATTTCCCAGTCCAAGCTCACCTTTCCATTAGATGAGAGCGTCAAGGGACTACATATATTCTTTGCCAATAATACTTCTCAGTGAGCCTTACTTTGTGCTTGCGCCATTAGAGTTTCTGTCCCCACACCCTGGCTTTACAGTGTGACACAGCAGCTCTTCATCACATCAATAGAAAGATGTGTATCTGGGACTCCACAGGTGGCTATTTTAAACTACACCTAAAAACATTAAGCATCCATCCTGATAAACTTATTTCAGATATGTTACATAAATCTGATTTCTCATCCTATCTTTTCCTACCTTTATTTATCAATATGCCTTACTTTAAAATAATATCAGGAATCCCTAATAGTTGTTCTTCAGTAAATATCAAATTCATACTTTTTAAAAATTATTATTTTAGATTCTAGTTCTTGGCTAAAGAATCTATGGTTTCCATATGTTGTTTGTTAGACAGTAACTTCTATCATATCTCTGACTAGTGTGTCTGGCTCCTGGTTTGGGGGGTGGGGAATCATCTTTACCGTGCCTTCTCACCCAGAGGACTTCACAAAATCTCTGTAAAAAAAATATGTTAGCAGTCAACATTTAATTATAATAGCATAGCATTGATTAGATTCTCAGTACTGCTCTAATCTCTTTAATAACCTTTAGGTGTAGCTCTATGAGTATATATAGATAAAACTGATTAAAATTGCCATTTTCACAGGCCAAAACAGCTAGGTGTTAGAAATTTCATATGGTTCAACCCAACCCATTTTACAGATCAGGGCACTGAAACACCAAGGCAGCACAAGTTGTTCCTGGTCACACAGTCAGAACTGAGATACGTGAGGCATAACCAAAGATTGCTAACTTATTATACCCTTTTACTGACAGTTTTGTTTTAATGTTTTTGCAGTTCTAAATTCTCCTATTAGTTTTAATGGACACTTATTACTGGAAGTAATGGCACTGTTAGCCCACGTGGCACTGTGGCTAAGCATTGGGCTGCTAACCACAATGTTGGGGTTCAAACCTGTCGGCACTATAAGGGAGAAAGATGAGCTGGCTGCTCCATAACGATTTAGTCTCCGAAACCCTAAGGAGCAGTTCTGCTCTGTCCTTTAAGGTTACTATGAGTCAGAAACAACTGAATGGCAGTGGCAGTGGGCTGTGGTACTGTTGGCCGACTAGAGGCTGCTGTGCGTTTTCCCTAATCGTTCTCTGTAAACATCCTGAGATTTCTTTGCTTATCAGAGCCAGTACTCAGCGAAGACACCTTCAGTACAAAAAGGATGAGTCACTGCAGCAACCTTTCTTCAGTTACATTAATCCCTTATACACACTGAGTTTCCTAGGGCTTTCATAACAAAATCCCACAAAAAAACAGAAATGTATTGTCTTACTGTTCTGTCTGCTAGATGTCCAAATCAAGGTGTTAGTTATATCAACTCATTCTGAGGGCACTGAGAAAGGAATGTCTCTGCCTTGCTCAGCTTCCCATGGCTGCCAGCAGCCCTTGGGGTCCCTTCACTGCATGTAGATACGTCTTCATATGGACCCTTCCCCTTATGTGTGACTCTATCTCCCTGTCTGCCCTTCCTTTATAAGACACCATACAAAAGGGAATAGGATGCACCCTACTCCAGTATGACTCCTTAACTTAGCTGATAGCATCTTCAAGAAAAATCTAATTTCCAAACAGTCAAATTAAAAGGTATTGGGGTTACGAGTTCAGCAAATTGTTCTGAAGTACATAGTTCAATCCATTACAATGCTCAGTTTTGAATTTTAGTGTCATTATTATATTTATTCAAGAATTTTATCAGTGTTAATGATCCTTTGGGAAGTGCAGTGGCTCTGTACAATAAACACTGAACTGTAAACCCCAAGGCCAGTAGTTCAAGCCCACTAGCTGCTCCTTGGAGAAAGATGAGGCTTTCTGCTCCTGCAAAGATTTAGAGTGTCAGAAACCCTATACAGAGCAGGGGTAGGGAATGTCTGGCCCATGGACAGTATGTTGTTGTTGTTGTTAGCTGCCATCGAGTTGGTACCGACTCATAGTGACCCTATGCACAACAGAACGAAACATTGTCTAATCCTGGGCCAACCCCACAATTGTTGCCACACTTGAGCCCACTGATGCTGCCACTTTGCCAATCCATCTCACTGGGGGTCTTCCTCTTTTTCTCCGACCCTCCACCTTACCAAACATGATATCCTTCTCCAGCGACTAGTCCCTCTTTACAATATGTCCAAAGTTTGGCTATCCTGGCCTCCAAGGAGCACTCTGGCTGTACTTCTTCCAACACAGATCTGTTTGCTCATATGGCAGCCCATGGCACTTTCAATATTCTCCTCCAATACCATAACTCAAAATCATCAATTCATCTATGATCTTCCTTATTCACTGTCCAACTTTCACATGCAGATGAGGTTATCGAAACTGCCATGGCTTGGGTCAAGGCCCATGAAATCATTTGGTCTGGCCCTGCTAAGGCAACCACATTTCCAGCCATCATATCTGTTATTGCTAAGTGCTGTCAAATGGGTTCTGACTCACAGCAACCCTGTGTAGGGATTCCAAAGAGTGGTTGGTGAGTTTGAACCACCAACCTTTTAGTTCAAACCGACCTTCAAGTGGAGTGCTTATACTACAGTGCCACACCAGGACTCCATCACAATGTTGTTAAGTGCTACTGAATTGATTCCAACCCATAGTGACCCTGTATAGGGTTTCCAAGAATCTAGTGGGTTTGAACTGCCGACCTTGTGGTTTCCACTCCAGGGTTGATGCATAGCACCATACCAGAAGTCCATCACGTTGTTGTTGTGGTTGTTAAGTGCCATCGAGTCGATTTCAACCCGTAGTGACCCTGTATAAGGTTTCCGAGGAGCAACTGGTGAGCTTGAACCGCTGACCTTGCTGTTCAAATTGACTTTGCAGTCCAGCACATTAACCCACAGAACCATATCAGGACTCCATTACATTAGGGATGAGTTGATTAAATGTTTGACCAAATATAGCAGGCTAATTTTTAACTTGATAATTTTGTGTGGCCCACAAATGATATTGTAAAATTTGGCAGAAAAAAAGGTTCCTAACTCCTGCCACAAGGTTGGCAGTTCAAACCCATCAGCTGCTCCTCAGAAACCCTACACATGGTTGATGAGAGTCAAAACTGACTTGACTGCACTTAACAACAACCCCTGCTATACAGGGTCACTGTAAGTTGGTACTGACTTAATGGCAGTTAACAACAATAACAATGATCCTTCATTTATCCTTGAGAAGTTTATATTTACATGCTAGGGAAATTATGATACAGAAGTTTTTTTAAAAGATCTATGAACATGGAGAAGGTGGAGGGTCAGAGGAAAAGAGGAAGACCCCCAACGAGATGGGCTGGCCAAGTGGCAGCATCCATGGACTCAAGTGAGGTTGGCCCAGGATCGGGCAATGTTTCGTTCTGCTGTGCATAAGGTCGCTTTGGTTCGGTACCGACTCAATGGCACCTAACAACAACAACAACATGAACTCATTTATAGTGCCCCTTTTTCTTTTCAAAGCCCCTAAGGACAAATTTCCCAAACTCTTTTTGATGGTGTTTCTTAAGCACATCACTAATACTGATCAAGCATTAATTTGCTTTTGTTATTGCTGTTGCTGTTCTTGTTAAATGCCATCAAGTTGGTTCTGACTCATAGAGACCCTGTGTAGGGTTTCTGAGGAGCAGCTGGTGAGTTTGAACTGCCAGCCTTACCATTAACAGTCTAGTGCTTATGCTACAGCGCCACACCAGGAAGTGCTTGTAAATCTCTCTATGTTGTTGTTGTTAAGTGCCATCGAGTCAGTTCCGACCCCATAGCGACCCTGTACAGGGTTTCCGAGGCTGTAAATCTTTACGGGAGCCGAAAGCCTCATCTTTCTCCCGTGGAGCGGCTGGTAGTTTCGAACTGGTGGCCTTAAGGTTTGTAGCCCGATTCGTAACCACTACGCTACCAGAGCTCCTATATGTTATATAAAAAGCAGATACTTACCAGGATGAATGACTGTGTCATTTGGATAAGATAATTTATATAAGGAGTCCTGGTGTGGTACTATATAGGATAAGCAATGGACTGCTAACCAAAATATCATTAGTTCAAACCCATCAGCTGTTCCTTCAAAACCCTGTACAAGATCACTATGAGTTGGAACCAACTCGACAGCACTTAACAACAATTTGGATAAGAGCCAGAGTTTAACTATCAGAATTCTAAAGCTGAACAGATCATCGATTACAAACTCTTCATGGTAGGGTTTAGGATCTGCCTAAGTTTGCATAACTAGCCAATGGCAGATTCTGATTCTTAGTACACTTTCCACTCTATAGCCTACACAAGCACTTTGCAATTAAATAATAAGTATGCCTGAATTTTTAGAGTCTTTTTGAGAATTGAACAAACTATTCTTGGTATAAATTGATTTTTGTTACTCATTTGCCTCTCCAAGTATTTTAAAATTAGAACCATGGAAATATTAAATATTAATAAAACTTTCAAAAAAAAAAAAAAAACTCCAACTCCTCAATCCATTCTTTAAGAAACGATTTCAGCCAAATGCATTTAACTGAAACATTTATCTGCGGATAGCTTTCTTTATTTTTATTCAAACTTTCAATTGATTGATTTTAAGTGATGGATGAAACATTAAATGTTCCCTGACTTAGAGCTTTCCCTTTCTCCATCATAAATTGACATTTTTGTGGATCCTTTGTGCTGCAGCATTCAAAACTGCCTTTTTAAGAAGTAACAAAAAAATAGTATTTGCTCCAGTCAGCAGATGGTTGTCACATTTTGTTTTCAATGCGCTTTACCACTTAATTTTGTTTTGTTGCAGCATCCGAGGTTGCCAGTCAAGCATCTGCTATAGCTTATGGCCTAGGATTGGAGCCACCACTGATGGCACATGTTCAGAACAGCACTGATCTCAAATAAATGTTTAATAAGCTAGCCATAAAAGCACCTGGATTTTTTTCCCCCTTTAATTTTCACAAAACTGCATGAAGAGATTAGGAGGTTGGAAACAATTCTATGTAAGGTTTGACTTATGCATTTTTATGTAGTTTAATATATGAAAAATAATGCTTTTTTTTTTTCCCCCAATCTTTTGTGAATTCCAGCTCATCAAGGTGCTGTACAAGACCAGCCATACCAGCTGCCAGTGGAAATCGATCCTCTCATAGGTCTGTCACTTCCTTCTCTCTTTGCGATTCATTAAGCTCTGTATGGTGGCCCTGAAGTGTAGATTACAGTTGTTTTTCACTTGCTGGTTGCTGGGAATGGAATTTTCCTGATAAACCATTTGCATGCAAATTGGAATGCAATGAGCTGTGGCTATGCTGGTATTTCATCAACTCCCCCTCGTTGGTTTGCCTAATTTGAACAGGCCTAGGACGCGTGTCACTGAAAATTAATATGGATGCTGTAATAATGTGTGATTGAGAATGCGCATGAAGTACTGTCAGGATAATATTGGATCTTTTCATCACTCAGACTTGTTGATGAGCAGGAGCGAGGCACGTTATGATGAATTGGTGCACCGGTAATGTGATGGAGCTTCTTTGCTAGGGAAATTTTCATAATAACAGTGGGGTTCTTAGCAGCACTATGTTGTGAAAAATAAAACTGTAGTGCCAGGGTTTCATCATTAAAGGAGATCAATCCTTTCTTCCTGAACCCTCTGTTCACTCTGAGGGGATTAATGTGCAATTGCAAAGCAGTTTCCAAGTTGAAATATATTGCGCAGCCAATGGCAGTGTTAAGATATTTGTATTCATTTTCCTAGGGCCCTACAGCCTAGTAAATTGCCACTGGAGGTTACATTTGTTCAGGGGAAGAGAGAGAGAAAAAAAAAATAATAGAGAGGAGACCAGGAAAAGCCACTGGGATAAAATGAGCATCTGCAGCAGATGACTTAGAATATTTAATTGCTGTTATGCTGTTTGAGTTAGGTTCATTGAAATCTCTAGCTTAGCATTTTTCATCCTTATGTGTGGGGATTTCAGATTGTTAAGCCTTGATATTGAAAATCCAATCTAATAACTTTTAGAATAAAAAGCATAATAGCATTTTTGGGCCAGGAGTGGTGGAGGGGGTGTGTGGTAGTATACTCCTAGTGTGGATGTGGGCTGGCAATTTTACCAAATTTCCCTGGCACAAGTAATTTATTAGAATTTAAAATTTTTCAAATAAATCATGAAGAATGAATTAATTTATTCTTCTTAAAATCTAAGGTGTTCCATATATATACATATATATATATGTGTATATGTATATATATATATATATATATATATGTATATAAAGCATGCCTTTTTTTTTTTCCTTTAAAATCATAGAGAAGGAAAGAACCACCATTCATAAATGGACTATTAGAATCATCTTAAACTCAAAAACAAATTCATTTACCATTTCCTCTGAGGAGAAATCTAAGAAGTAATTGTCTGTTTGAAGGATAAATACATTCCTGGCTCCTCAATCTTGTTTTGCTTCGAGTAGATATGATTTGCTATATATATGTGTGTGTAAATACACATATTTGTTGTTGTTAAGTGCCATCAAGTTGATTCTGACTTATAGTGACCTTACATATATAGGGTTTCTGAGGAGCAGATGGTGAGCTTGAACTGCCGACCTTGTGGTTCAAACCGACCTGTGGTCTAGTGGCTATCCTGCGGCACCACACCAAGACTCCATATGTATGCAAATATACTGGTGAGTCCTGGTGTTTTGCCGTAGCATGTAGGATAAGCACTAGGCTATGAGGTCAGTTTGAATATATAAGTATGCATATATATTGTTGTTGTTAAGGGCCATTCAGTTAATTCTGACTCATAGCAGCCCTATATAGGATTTCTGAGGAACGGCTGCTGAGTTTGAACCTTTTGGCAGTTCAAACGTGCCAGCAACTCTTAGGAAACCCTATATAGGGTCGTGATGAGTCAGAACTGACTCCATGACACTTAACAAAACAAAGAGAAATTATATA